CAAGCGACGGGTGAAAATAGTACTTTTGTTATTTTGTTTATCACAATAACAAACTTTCATCTCTTTATATTATAACATTTTACTTTTAGGTATTTATTCAATTAGAGTAACAACCACTTCTATATTTGGGTTTATTCCAAAGTTTAATGCTTTAATAAGAAAAAAGTTGAATGTACAATGCTATATCTGTATACAATTCTCAAAGTACAGTGAACCTAAACCGATTCTTTTTGGTTCCAAAGCAAATTGCTCATGTTTTTCGGTCCTTTCCAATTAATACCAGAACCGGAACCGGTAACCAGAACCGGAACCGGTAAAACCTTGGGTCTCGTAATCAAATAATCAGTCTGGTTTTTGGTTCCTATTTTTGGTCATATTCGGTTTTCGGTTCTTCGGGTTCAGGCCGTTTCCAGACCAGTTTATATGCTGAAAGCATTAACGGGAAGAGGTTGAAATCATATACTTATATGCTGAAATCATAAACTTATATGCAAGTTTATATGCTGAAATCATAAATCTTATATGTTGAAATCGTAAATCTTTGCTGAATATGTTAAAGTCTTTGCTGAAATGGTTTTTTTTAACTTATTTGCTGAATTGTTATCACTTGTATTTCTTGAATGGAGATCAAGTTTATGCTTATATGCAAGTTTGTGCTTAAATCGTTGAATATGCTAAACTTATTTGTTGATTGTGTTGTATAATCTTTGCTTTTATGGTTTTTATATTCATTCATGATGCATTGTTGTTGAATATGCTAAACTTATTTGTTGATTATGTTGAAATATGATTAATCTTTGTTACTAAAGTATGTATTCTATATTTTTTTGTTATTAGCAATGGGAGATAAACGTACATGGACCAATGAGCAAACAAAATGCTTATTGCTAACTTGTATTGAAGAAGTACAAACCGTGGGTAGAAAAGGTTTGAGTTTGCACAAACAATCATTGCACAAGTTAGGAACAACCATTAAGGAAAAGTATGGCGTGAATTTGAATCAACGACAATTAAAAAACGTCTATGATAACCTTAAAGCCAAATACACAGGATGGTTATACTTAATAAAAGAAAACCGGAAACCTTTACAATCCACAAAAAAAATACTTTTAACTTAACAAATGAGGAGTGGGAGGACTTTAAAAAGGTATATATATATATATATATATATATA